GGCTGGCACAGTGTAGGTCAGACTCATCTACTGTCCTGCCAAATTTCATGTTGATCGGTGCAGCCGTTTTTGTGCTAAAAAAAACAGTACGAAAACAATATGACTCCCTCTTACGCTTCGTGTGCGGGGGTCATAATAAAAAGACCCCCACCCAAACAACTACAATTTTGGGATGCATCTAGTAGCATGATATTTATTAGGAATAAAGACTTCTGAGCTCTGGTGCATTTGTGCGTGCGGGGGTCAATATGTTACCGCTACGCGGTATCTAGTTTATATTTTGCACAATGTCCCAACTTCTTTAAATTGGGTTATATTTCACAAAACAGTACTGTACTGACTTTATTAAAAATACCATTTGATTGTCTTGACATACTGTTCAAGTAAGTTAGTCTGCTTAAGCCATGCTAAAACATCATTCTCATTAAAGTTTGACCTTCATGCAAAATGAAGCAGGACCTTTTAGTTTCTGTGAGTTCAAAGAATGTTAAGAAAAGAACCATTGTGCCCAGATTTATGGTAACAAAGACTTCAGGAAACAGGCAAAATGAAGGTTTTCAAAGACTATTTTTGGACTTACCTTTGTCACAGGTCTTAGACCCTGTAACATAAAATTAACAGTAAGACTGTTTATTTAGAGCCCTAACAAAAATGAATTTATGAATATATACCCCAAAATATTGTGGGATAGAAGTTGAAGAGTCTTACTTGAACTGTCAGACTTCACATAAACCTCTGCAGCTTGTTTTAGGGCTGTGAAAAAGATCTCGTACTGCTCAAAGAATCTGTGACCTTCTGTATAAGTCTAGGAAGAAAAAGATAAATTTGAAATGATTCATATTTCTGTCATTTACAGTATATCATTGTGTCATTCAATCTCAACTTACAAGGTAGCTTTGTAACAGAAGTTCAACTGAATCCCGTCGGCCGTATTTTATAATCCAGGACTTCAGCTTTGACTCGGCCAAACCAAGAAAACCCATCAAGCGATACTTCACTTCCCAGAATTCCATTTTTATTAAGTGAGAGTGCGATGATGTAGACACGAAGTTGAACCTGCAAAGTCAATTCAGTTCAAATTAAAAATACTTTATTGATCCCAGAGTGAAATTAGATGATGTAGTAACTTATTTAACTAAAGAGTTATTGTAGATGGTGATGGCTGTGGGCAGCGGTCTGTATTACAATGAAATTGAAGCAGCCTCTGACTGAAGATACTTTGTTTTCTAGGACAGCCTGATGAAGAGGATGGTCAGGGTTGTCCACAATGTTCTTGATTTGATGTAAAATCCTTCTTTGCACCATCATCTCCAGAGATTCCACAGCCATCCCCAGAGCAGAATTAAATTAAATTAAATTAAATTAAATTAAATTAAATTAAATTAAATTAAATACATAGTTGTGCATTATTCAGTTTTTCCCGGTATTAAACAGATTAGGGTGGTCTGGTGGTCTCTCATTGAGAAAGTTACAGATTTGCCTCTCACCTGGGGTCTTTCTATGCAGTGGCGGAGCCAGACATTTTTCTCAGGGGTGGCCAGACTGTGACCACTACTCACATAGGGGTGGCCAGGAACATTACTTTTTTTTTTACTTAAAAGTTTCTGCAGATCTGTGTGTTTTGGTCATTTTCTTAAGTCCTTAAACAGGCAGTGACTACCTTGTAAACATGGGCAAAAGAACCATTTAAAAGTGGGGGGGGACACACTGTTGGATGAAACAGATGCCATTTCCTGCATTCGGTTGTATTTTACCAGGTTGTTAAACATACTTTTACCTACTTAAATGAACACTTGATTTAATTATTTCGGAGACAGATTTTTCATTAAACTAGTTCCATCATCCTGTTTTTAAACTCACTGCTACAGCTGAGATGAGATTAATTAGTCACAATTTATCATATCCAATGACCTTATGGGTGCTTTTTATTTTCATATTGTTTATTGATTTATTTTTAATTGTAACACATGTCATTGTGTCAAACAACGATGACCCTCAAATGCATGTTTAAAACTAACATTATAAATTTTACCCAATGAATTTAGTGACTTTAGAGGGGTGTTACACTTTTTCTGATTTAGTGATAGGTCTACTCAAAATAAACACAGAACATCGTGCAGCCTTCATAACATAAAATGACACTATTATGGTGACAAAAAATAATAATAAAACATTTGTCACCATAAGGCCAAAAGTTGACACCATAAGTCAGATTACATAGAAACAGGTTCTGTATATAAAGAAAACCATCACTTCTTTATCACTACTCTTCTTCAGTGATAGAGCTTGGTGATGTTTCAAACTGTTAAACACTGCCACCAACTGTTCAGGAGGATTATTGTTGTTTCACTGTGTAAGGGGTGTGTACAGCAGGGTGGCCAATGGGGTGGCCAAAGATTTGTCTATCGTTGCCATGGCCACCCCCTGGCTCCGCCCCTGTTTCTATGTGGAGTTTACATGTTCTCATGTATAGGTTCTCTGGTTGTCTCCATCTGACCTCTGGCCATCTTGAACTGGGTCAGGTCCAAAGATTAATTCATGTAAATACACATCTAATATTACTGTCTGGAAGTATCTGTCCACTGGTTCATGGGATATGTTTTGACACAGAAGACACACACAGACCAGGTTACTGCTCCAGCTTCAGTACCAGGTGATAATTAGACATTATTTGTTCTCCTACAGGTCTTACCGTTCTGCCATGTCCTGGAGCTGTTCAGGTGGAACAGGTACCCCATTGACTGATCTGTCTTTGTGGATCTGAACAAAGGTCTGCCTGTGTGATTCCAGGTTTTTTAAGATCTCCTGAAAACATCAAAACACAACTTTGCTCATATCAGCAGTGGGTTGTTGTGCATTGAAATAAAGAATGACAACAACGTGGCTGTCCTGATATTTGACCTTATGCAGCTCCAGTTTTCTGTGAAGAACATTGGCTGTTTCTTCATGAACATGCTGGAGGGGGATGTCCTCCCTCAGAGCCATCTCTGCTCTGTGAAGCCAGGCTCCAATCACCCCCAGAGGTCCAGGCAGAGACTTGTCCAGGTGAATGTGCCAGTCCAGCAGCTGCAAATTGACAATCCATGAAACACACACACAACAAAAAGAAGATCCTACAATGGAGAGACCGTGTTGATCACATTTCATGTTCACATTTTCATAAGCAGTCATGACATGACAGATCTTTTTGGGGCAGCTGTGGTAGAGTGGTTGGAGGAGTTGTCCTGTGACTCCTCCAACCCCCTCCCCACCACCACCATTCTATCTGTCTCAGTACTTGTGTCCTTGAGCAAGACACTACACCTGCCTTGCCTGCTGGTGGTGGTCAGAGGGTCCGGTGGCATTAGTAGATGGCAGCCACGCTTCTGTCAGTGTGTCCCAGTGCAGCTGTGGCTACAATGTAACCAGCATCAGTGTGTGAATGTGTGTGTGGATGGATGAACATCTGTTGTGTGAAGCACTTTGGAGTCCGAAGGGACCTGACAAAGTGTTATATAAGTTCAGGCCATTTACCATTATTTCCATCTAGACAAGCTGTCAAGCCTTTGTTTTGATGTGCAGCCCCTCTGAACCCTCATTGTTCAACCCTCATAATGTTTATCTGAACATTCAGTGGAGGCAAACATGAAACCTGACTTTGGTTTTCTATCTAGTGTTTTTAAAAGAATAATGCCTTTTTTTTTTACATTTCCTAATGATGTGATTTTCAGTTGGATGCAATATTGTAAAGCTGAGTTAATGTTTGGAGTATGTGTTGAGGATCACTCTCAGCTACTACCAAACCAAATAGGTGAACTTATCACTTTCATCTGGGTGTGTCCCAGCAGTCTTTAAGAAGGCTGTTGTGGAACCCATCTTTAAAAGTCCTCTCTGGACTCAACTGATTTTAACAATTTCAGGCCCATCTCAAAGCTTCCTTTTATGTCTAAGGTCCTAGAGAAGGAGGTCTCAGAAGAACTTATTGCTTATCTGGAAGATAATAACTTTTATGACCAATTCCGGTCTGGTTTTCGCAGACACCATTCCACTGAGACGGCTCTTCTTTGGGTGTCCAACGACCTGTTAATGTCTGCAGACATTAACATGCTTTTACTAGATCTATCCTCGGCTTTTGACACTGTGGACCATGCCATTTTGTGAATAAGATTTAAAGATTTGGGCCTTGGGGTGTCATGTTAGACTGGTTTGAATCTTTTCTCTCAGATCGTTCATTTGCTGTTTTAGTAGGTCAGACATATTCTGACATGGCTCCCTCTACCTGTGGAGTGCCACAGGGTTCAATTGTGCGACCTATTTTATTTTTGCTGTACATCCGTCCTCTGAGTCAGATTATAAATAAATTCTGTGATGTGTCCCATCACTTCTATGCAGATGACTTGCAGTTATACTGCTCTTTTAATGATTCCACCTCCTACGCTTCTCTGATGGACTGTGTCACAGAGGTAAAGAGCTGCTATCAGAAAACATGCTGCTGCTTAATTTGGACAAGACAGAGGTGCTAATTCTGGCCCCTGAAAAAAAGATCCCTAAAGTTAAGGACAGCTTGGGCTCTCTGTGTTCAGCTGTCCATCAGAGTCTTTGTAATATGGGTGTTATATTTGACTCGGACCTGTCTCTGGAAAAACATATTAAAAATTTAGTGTCTACATGTTTTTTCCAGCTGCATAACATTTCTAAACTTCGGTCTATGATGTCTGCCTCAGATCTGGAAATCGTCATACATGCCTTCGTTTCTACCCGCCTGGATTATTGTAACAGCCTGTTTATGTGTTTGAACCAAAAGCAGCTACATCGTCTCCAACTTGTTCAGAATTCTGCAGCTAGACTTTTAACTCAAACTTCTAAATCTAGTCACATCACTCCAATCCTTTCAGAACTTCATTGGCTACCTGTTTATTTTAGGATTCAGTTTAAAATCCTGGTTCTTACATTTAGAGCCTTAAGAGGCCAGGCACCTGCTTATGTTAGGGACATGCTCTCCACGTACGATCCAGTCCGCTGCTTGCGCTCTCAGGATCAAAATCTATCAGCCGTTCCTCAAACACGCTATAGGACCCGTGGCGACCAGGCTTTTTTGTTTACAGTCCCTAGCCTCTGGAATACCCTTCCCTTTGAGTTACGTTCCATCAATGATGTCGAATTATTCGAAAAGGGCTTAAAAACCTTCTTTTTAAAACAAGCTTTTAGCTAGATGTTTTGGTTAACTTTAAGTTGTTGAACCCAGTGCCTCTTGTGGTAGCTGAGTTTTCTCTTGCCCTGGTCCAAGTTCGATTTACATTTATGTAAAAGTAAATGGGCTGGTATTTTATTTTTACTTTTGTCTTTTTTTTCATTTGGCTCAATGTTGTTGCTGATATACCTTTTTGGGTTGGTAATACTGGACAGCTCCATATTTTTTATTGCTTTGTTGTTTTGTGTATTTTTGTATTGTACAGCACTTTGTGAAGTTATTTACATGAAAAGTGTTTTATAAATAAAATTTTACTTACTTACTTACTTACTTACTTACTTACTTACTTACTTACTTACTTACTTACTTACT